GGTGCACAAGCAAACCTATAGTTGCTTAATACCTCTCCAACATGGAACTATAAAACTATATAACCCTCATAATCTCCAGTGTCCTCACAGTGGTTTGGTTCAAAGCCACCAGTTCTCCTCAGTTCCCTAGTCCAGTTCCTCACATCATGCCTGTCTGTCATTTGTATCAGCACACCTGTTCCTAATCAGTCATCACCATCCTTCCACTGTTCCTTATTCACCTTATTCCTGGGGGCTCTACTGTATAAATGATTATGGTACAACTTCCTGTCAGACAGGAAGTAGCAGTAAGCATTGGTTAACTATGGTAGCAGAGCATGGACCACGGTTTATTTCAAAGTAATCTGCATCCAGTTTAGCAGATAAAATGCTGTTTTTGTTTTATTCACATTTATTTAACAACCGTAAAGTTTATTCAAATAGCCTTGCAGAGTTCAGGTACCTGTTGTGTTGGTCGCGGCTGCAGGAACAACCGGACCAAACTAAACCAGTGGCTACAACAACAGTTTTGAACACAGAGCTCTCTACCTACAGATGAGGAATTAAGAAGAATGTGACTGAAACATCTGAACTTGAAGAGACCACCCAAAACGCTATACGTATGCTCATTTCACTTTGTTAGCAAACGGCCGACGGAGGAAAACCTACATCCTACTTTGTGTCTGGGCTACAATAAACCACTGGAGATGAGATGCTCCTCGGACTGAAAACAGTGACAAGAACACAGGTATGATTTCAAGTGTATGAAGCAGCATCATTGTATTTGTTCATCTTCGGTATTACGATTTTCTCTGCAATTAAGCCAAGCTCAGTGATGGAGGACTTTAAGGCTTTGGATGGGCTCTGTGTCTGCTTTAAGGTAAATAAGACTGTGTACCAAATTTCATAATAGCATGTGGAACTGTTTGTAAGGGCTGTTCTTCAAGGCGATGCTGTCGAGACACTTCATAGCAGCTCATCTGAAAACCTTTAGAATACAAATAGTTTCCATTGCTTTTGATGCCTGTGCAACATTTCACGTTTTGGTGGATGTTTAGTTCTTATAAACAGTGTATTTGGTCCAGGAAGAGGAAATTATGCTCCTTATCTGACTTTACAAAGAATAAACGGTGATGTAAAGGAAGATGTGCTGATTAGGTAAATGTCAAAAATGTTTCTTTTGCGATTGAACATGTTAGATGTTTTTGTTGCTATCATTTACTTAATGATGTTCAGTGTACTTGAGAATTTGCCCCTTAATTTGAATTGACCAACTAATTGCGGAAAACCTAATCATAGAACTGATTTTTTTTTTATCTTAATGTATATAAGTTGAATGACTCTCTTTTTTCTACATATTTAATACAAGCTTTGTTTATGATTACCTAAAGCTACAAGCTAAATGTATTGTGTGTTCTGTTTGTGTTTAGTAGGGAAAAATAAAATACTCATCTTGTTTAAATTACGGCCAAGACTGATTACAGACTTGCAAAAATAAATTCCATTTCATGTGTATTTTTTTTAGCTTTTGAACAGAATAAAGCGCATGTTTTATTTTGGAAACATCTTTTCTTTTATGTCTTTGCAGCACCTTTTCTCTGCAGTTAGTGCAGATCAAATACAGAAAGGAGGAGCAGCGCAGGAGGGAGATAAAACACTACAGGAGGAGAGGAGGATGGAAGGAGGTATGCTTTAGAAAGCTGCGTTTCTTCAGCTAACATGTCAGAAAACACTCAGGAGACCCTCATTTTCTTCCTGCTAACCAGGAAGCTCCTGATTCCTTTCTTCTCATACACAACGTGGGTGATGTCCAGAATACCCGTCCTTCACGTGCCCCTATTTTCTATCCAGCACTCTCCTCCTCCTTCCTTTCACATTTTCACTTTTCTTTTTGTTCACCTCCCTTGTTCTCTCATCTTTGGTTAAACCAGTGCAGTAAACTAAGACTAGAACAGAGCTAACCCCAACTCACCCACATGCTGCTACACACACAGACCATCCAGCAGGTATTTAATGAGTCCTGGCTCGATACAATCACAGTGGTCATCAAACAGTGTTGAGCAGCATCACATCTCACTGCAGGGATGTCAAACTGTTACAAAAGGGGGCCAAAATACAAAACTTGGTTCTCACCAAGGGCCATTTTCAATCACTTCATTAACTCAAGTCATCTCTTTTCAGTTGCAGGTTCATTTAATGTTCTCAGTTGCTCTTTCCATATTAAAAAAGATTACAGTAGTCCCTCGTTTATCGCGGGAGACCCGTACCCTGAAACCATGCCATAAGTGAAAAACTGCGAAGTAGGAATAGTAGTACAAGTAGTACTTTATTTTAGTATTATTTTAGTTTGTTTTACTATAACCTTTATATATATATATATATATATATATATATACATATATATATATATATACTGTAATCTGAAATAGTAGCTAAAAGAGCATAACAAGCTGAAATTAGCATAAAGAAGTCAATTAAGCTGAAATTAGCAGAAATTAACATGAACATTTTAAATTTCTCTGAAAGCAGCTAAAACTAACAAAAGAAACGCTACAAATGTAGCTGAAAAGGTAGAACAAGCTTAAAGTCACAGAAAGAGGCTGAAAGAACATGTTTGCCCAATTAGGCTGTAAAAAGCAGAAATGAGCACAAAAAGTGGAAATTATCTGAAAAAGGCTGAAATTAGCAAATAACGGTGGAAAAGTAGCTAAAAAGTAGGAATGAGTGTAAATTACAAGAAAGAAGTGGGGAGAGCACATTTTTGATGAAATTGGCTGAAAAAGTTGAAATTACGGCAAAAACTGTGGAACTGGCTGAACAAACTAAAGTGAGCATAAAACAGCTAAATAGTGGCTGAAATAGCAGAGAAAGTTGAAACGTGCTGAAAGTAGCATAATAAGCTGAAATTAGCTGAAAGAAGTAGAAGCACAAAAATGTTGTAGTTAACAGAAAGAATCTGAAAGGAGCATAAAACATCTAAAAACCCAGCTGAAATGAGCTGAAAGTAGCTGAAAATGTTTAAATTTGCACAAAGAAACTGAAAGAAGACGAAGCAGAACAAAATGTGAAAGCAGCAGTAGAATGTTGTAAACAGATCTAAAAATTTGAAGGATGTAAAATGAGCTCAATTCATTTTCTATGAGAAAAAAAAAAGTGTCAGAAAAGGCTAAATATTTCAAAAAGCTAAAGTTGCACCAACACCAAAAGTCATAGCAGGATTGTCCTGAATGAGCTGAACGTTTTGATTTATGATTTGTTGAAATAGAACAAAAACTGGGGAACGAGAAAGACATTGAAAAACGTACAGAAAAAAATGGATCACAACAGTGTGAATGCTGCATAATTATTCACACTATTGTGACTGATTAGAGACAAAAAGAGAACGAACTGTGACCAAATCGAGACAAGATTAAGACACTTTGTGACTTGATTGAGACAAATAAGTAAATCTGCATGTCTTTCAAAAGGACGGTGCAGTTTATTCAGTTACGCAATGTGTGTCGTTGGTACCACTTAGTGAAAATGTGTCTTCGCTCACAATTTTGTGCCTTTTATTTGCAGCTCAGTGAGATACAGGCTTAAGCTCTGTGCCTGACCAGTCAAATGTTTCACAGCATACCACAACACACTTGTAGCACCAGAGCTGGTCATTTGGACCCAGGTGTCCGTCCCTGCACGGGCTGATTCAGTTTGCAGGGCTGTAATCAGTATCATTGTCCAGGAGCAGTGGTGCCTGACCCCCTCTGAAGCACCACAGCCCCACAGCAATAATGAGCGGACTCAACTGCACTGAGCTGTGGATTATCAAGTCACTGGGCGTCGTGTCAGAGAGGAACACACAGTTGACCGCTTTAACTAACACCTGCTATTCATGTTGGCCGCGTGCTTCGAGGCTAACGCATGTTTCCAAGCTTCAAAGCAGAGGAATGTATGAAAATGTGTCATATATTTGTGGACGGCAGTCTTTTACACCAGAGTTCAGCTCTAGCTGAGATTAAATAGTGGGCAGATCCATTTGTCCAATTAGAAGGAGGAAATGAGCCTTGCACAGACTGAGCGCCATGCAGAAAGTGTTTCAGCAGTCTCCTCCCGCATTCGATCAATAGGCCTGTGACGCCCTGCGGCCCCCGCCTTACCCCACAGTCCGAGTGGAGCTCTGAGAGGAAACGAGGGGGAGGAGGAGTGAGAGACAGACGAGGGAGGAGGGGTGGGAACGATGAAAGGAAGCAAAAAGACGACCTGCATATTTAATGATTTTTCCCTTTGCACTGCCGGAGGAACCTCTGGACCAGACCATGTTCAGTCACACTGTCATGATTTCATCTTTTAATTTAGCTGCAACAGGTTTACTAATTTTATAAATTCAGAAAAGAAAGGTTATCCCACATGATATTTAATCATGTTTAGACTGCTGACCGAGCACTCACACTATCATTTCCCTGCTTTTGTAACTACTCCTACCTGTTTGGTGATAGCATTAATATCTTAACGCTCAGCTCATTCAGGAGATGGGTGCTATTACTACTGCTCTGTGCACATTTTATAAACCTCTTTAAAATATTGAACTTTATTTACAAACATTTCCCCAAAGAAATCAATTGAGATCTCGTCAGTTCATTCAGAAACATCGTTCTCTATTAAATCTGCTTACAGCAAATTTGTTGTTTCTGTCTTTTTATGCTACTTTTAGTTTATAACTTCCGTTCTGCTGCTTCTGTTTCTTTACCATTCTGATACTTTTAGCTACCATTCTGATACTTTTAGCTACCG